AATTTCCTATAAGATCTCAAAGTCTGGCTAGAACGTTCAGAGCCACCCTGTATATATGTATGTATGTATATATGTATTTCTCGTCGTCCGTTCCTACTGTTCTCCGCCCACTATTACCCCATTGTATCCCGCAAGCGGTATTATTTTAACATTATCAGTTGCCGCGCTTAATTAATTTATTTATGAACTGTGCGCAAGCGAGACGAGGAGAAAGAGAGGAACAAAAGAAAAAGACAAGAGAGCTCGGAACTTGAGTTTCATCGTCGGATTTGTCTCCGGAGGTTCAGCGGTTCAACCCCTTGTCGTCGATGGTTGTCGGAGCCGGTCGAGACTCTCTCGGGCTTAGGGTTCGCCGAGCAAAAGGACGTAGTCCTAATAACGCTTCCTCCTTTATTGCGTCCCGTTTTATCGCCGGCCAAAGAAACTGCTCTGCGGAGAATGTCCGAGCGAGAAAGACAGAGAGATGGACGGAGGTAGACGGAGAGATAGGAGGCAGAGGAGGACTACGACGATTTAAGGACTGAAATCGCAATGAGAGCGGTAACTGTTGTAATGAAAAAGGCGCTTGATTACTCGTCGCCCGACGGCGTTAAAAGCTGCTGCGATCGCTGATCTTTCAGTAGTAATTATTCTTATTCTTGAAAAGTGATGAAGCTAATGGCGTAACAGGATAAGCAATTTAAATGAAATAAGAACTTGTGTTTTTGTTTTCTTTTGTGAAACAAAAATCAGAATTCTTATTTTATAATTTAATCATAATCTTTAGAAATATAATTATCACTTTGTGTGATTATCTTCATAATTTTATAATATCAGACACATTGTAATATATCTTGTATGTCAAGTACAAATTGAAACTCACGTTTAATTATATTCAGCATTAAATGCGAAAATAGAATGCAGACCAAGATGTTCTCAGCATCGCGATGAAATTTTCGGCACTTCGCGTGAAATTCGAATCACAATCGGAAAAGACGGAGATCGGCCGGACCTTTCTCTTTCGAATTGAGCGATAAATCAAGCGATACCCCGTAAGGGAGGAACCCTCTGCCGGGACATTTGCATAGGGGAGATTTTTGACCCTTCGTCTTGGTGGACGAAGTTACCGGTCAGTTGTCCAGTTTTGGGATCACCTGTCCCGTGATTATCCGGGGTCAAGATTGCGAGAGGGATTTTGCCGGGAACGGGACCTTTGCACTTCGACGAAGCCCCCCCCCTCCCCCTGCGCCCCCTTCTTTACTGGTCAGTAGCCTTCCTCCCCGTTGGACTCACCGGTCGGTCTTCGTTCGACGCGTTTACGATAAATTAATGGTTTTTCGGGGCTCCTCGCTCTGGCCGGTCTCACGAAAATTCAAATCGGCAACTGTCTCGTTATTATTTACGGTCGCCCGTTTCGAGTCATCGACCGTATAAGACGCAAACTTGCATTCTTTGTTCAAAAATAAAACATTTTTCGAAAATTAAACGAATTAATAAGTTTCTCTAAAGTATTCACATTAAATTAAGCATTGATGTTGATTAAATGCAATCCATGAAAAATCAGATAATTCATATTTCTTTCAAAATAAGATTTAAAAAAAATAGCTTCGCATTTTATTATTGTTGCAAAAAATAAAATATGGATCTTAAACAAGCTATCAATATATCATCATGAGAAAAACATATTAATATATACTATTATTATAATCATAAATTAGAGATTTTTTCAAAATATATGTATAATTCGTATACATCGAGAGAAGTATAATTATTTTTAAAATTATTTGATATTAAAACGTCGTGAAGAAAAAAACAAAAACAAATAAATAGAATAAAAAATAAATTATAGATAAAAATAATATTTGATCTTGCACGTTTTTTTGAAAAAAGCATTTATATTTACCGGAAATTTACAAAATGTACTGTGACGCGCAGTTCTATTTACCTTCGATGACCCGAAAATGGACAATGGTCATCCCGTGCACGATCATTAACGATTCAACACAAACCGGAGAGAAAATTTCACGATTCCGAGGAATGAAGGAGAATCGGATACCAGTTCTGGAGGGAACGCTAATGGTTCTATATCAAACACCGGCCGGACATTTAACCGCGCAGAAACTTTCATACGAGTTTCATCATTAATCT